GTAATCTCCTAAGTCGTAGAATGGAATGGCGGGCAACCATTAGATGCGTATTCGTCGATTTGAACTATTCCTATGTATTCAATCCATAATCCTAATCTCCTATTCTAATCATATCTTTTCGCTTGAGTGTCCCATGTGTTCTAGCCTGATTGACTGATTTTCAAAATCGTTGGGTGTGAAGGCAGTTTACGCGTTTTAAACACATGAAACCAAAAGTCACAGCAACAAAGAGTTTTCAAAGTTTCAAGTTTTTTGTCATGCGTTAGCAAATGCGGGATGAATCCGTCGTTTGGCGCTTACGCTTTATCATCTAGATGAGTGCTGAACTCTTCTCGCTTACATATGGTGCACTAGTTACCGAAATGCTTCAAGACTACGAAGATCCGAAACTTGTGAACTTGAGATTAGATAAAGTAAGTCTGATACTAATCGAACCGAGATTCGAAGACTTCTAAAGACCTCAAATTCAGATTGGTTTCAACATGGGAACAAGGTTAGCTGATGATTTTCTCGCTAAGAATGCTCACGTTCCAAAATGCACTGATTGTCGGCAGATTGCAGAGGTCTTATCGAAGAACGCCATACCCATGTATTTAGGTAGAAAATCGAAACCTGTCACATCGTTAAAGATTTTCAACCAAAATGAGATTCAGGTGTCCCAGCTACGGTATCGAATTGGACCGGTGGTGATCGAGAATTCTCGCTGATAATTGAAAATAATCCATTGACGGAGCTAGTTGAAGTACCGGCAACCTTGTCCACTCTCAACTATTCTCAGGTCATAGCTGGAGCGATTCGAGGTGGACTTGAGGCTTTACATTTCAAGGTAATCCATTTGAACTTCTTCCAAAACCGGCTTAAAAGCTTTACGATAACGATCGTATAGTTACAATATTACAAGAAATCTCCATCTCGTGGTCATTTCGAAAACTGAACTTATGGATATCTGGTGGATTTTGAGCGTGGAAGCATCTCAGTATTTTTAATGGCTGTTTTGAATGGGACAAATATCCAAGAAATATTTTGCGCATGATAAGCGGCTCCTCTTCGTTTGGAGTTGTTGCAGAAATGGCCACATTCATAATGCGCAAATCCCAATGCTGAAACTCGCTTATTTTTCGTCTCCAGTTTCATAAGTTTCATAATTTCGGCGAATACAGCGCAAACTTGTTCTCAGTGATTTGATGAAC